TTAACAATACTTGGAAACACACACATACACAAACTCAGTTTAGCTATAGGCACGAAACTGCTGTAAGTTGTATAGCTGAAATCCAGTGATTCAATGATTTTCAACGTTAGTTAATTTGTGATGTTTCGGGATTCCTATCCAGTATCAACGATCCATGAATGTTTTATTGTCAGTATGAAGATCCTAAGAGGTTATAACTACCAACTAGGACTTTTAACAGTTCATCTTGAAACTAATTACTAGTTAGATGATGGTTATTTTTTTTATCCAGACGGTCCTATGGAAAAAATTTTTAGTAATCCGACAGTTCAACTCGAAGTTTGAGAGTTTCTATACGAATCACTTGTCTGAAAAAAAATTTCAATTTTACTAATCAATTATTCCAGTAATGACATCTCTACACAAGTTAAACTTTGTAAAGAAATGGTCATTCATGTTGCTGTGAAAAGGAATTCTGTATATTCTTACCGTAGACCACTGTATACCAAACAAGGCAACTAATAGAAATACAATGACAAATGAAGCAGACAAAAAATCTGGAGACAATTTCTTACAAACAAGTAAATAAGATTTATCTCGTATAGCTTTTTCAGAATAATTAAACAGTTCAATTCTACACAATGTAAACTCTGATGAATTTGTCCAGAACAATCATCAAAGCTTTACTATCAATCCATCAAGTTTACAAAATTCAATATAACCTACGCTACAAATAAATCTGTCTCATTATTTCAAGAAATCCAATTTAATTCAAATTCAAATTTTAGTAGTATCCTTTAAATTATTTGTCAGTATTTGTTTTATCCTATTCAGTGTTGAATAAACATTGAAAGGATATTGTATTCGACTTAAAAGTTACAAATGATGATCCACATCATCATTATTATAGAAATGCTCATGATTCTTAATTTAAAAATAAAATAAGTTATTAGCATGCTCACTGGTGACAGGCTTCATGAGGTATTTCATGGAGTTCTAGTGAGAAGCCGTAACCAGTGGAGTTGCGAGATAGTAACTCACTGAAGACAATGGTGGATGTGTCGCTCAATTTTGTGGATTAGTTGAAGTTAGACACTAACACCGTTGGATGCCGGCTCAGTGGTCTAGAGGTTAAGCGCCCACGTGCGAGACTGATAGGTCCTGTGTTCGAATCTCGCGAGTTGGGATCGTGGATGCGCACTTCTGAGGATTCCCATAATAGGACGAAACGGCTATGCAGTGCTTCCAGGTTTTCAATGGTGATCTAGCTTTAACTGACCCATGATATCAACTATTGAAATTATTAATATTTAATGAAAAAAAAATATATAATATATTGATATATTCTCTCCACATAGTGCCAACTGGAAATTTCGGGATTCAGTTAATATTTTATCGAATATGGGTGTCTAGTTTTTGTGAATTTTGTTTAAAAAAAAGAAGACCATGAATAATGGATGGTTTATATTAAACATAGATGTACAAAAATTAATTTGGCAGAAAACATATCATAGCCTTTATTTATAGAGTGAATTATTGTAATAAAGTAGTACTGTGTTAAATTAAAACATGATATCTTATATATGTATATGTATATGAGTAGTTTTTTTAATTGGAATGTAATTCCATGAAGCTGTTACATAATTTTAATTAAAATCACACAGAATTTATAATATTGTCTTTAACAAAATATCATTCGCTTAATAGGAAATTGATCTGTTCAAATGTTCAACAGGATTTAGTACCAAATATTGAATTCATAACAATATGGTATTATGCATCAGTGGATTTGATTCATGATTATATATTCAATTATATTATATTTCAAGTATAAAATTATTTATACACTACAAATAATCAAACACAGTTCATTTCCTGCTGAGCGATACCTGTTAAGTGTGAAATTGTACTATCATAGTATTGAAACAAATTTATCATATTAGATATATCCTAGAGGATCAATTTATTCTTTAGCTTATAAATTTACTTGTATACCATGATAATTCCTCTTTTTTTTAAAAAAAATACGTTATTATTTAGATTTATGTTCATACTGAGAGGGACTGGGAAAGAAAGTATAAATAGACGAGACTTTCTTATTATGTTTTGAACTGTTTCTTTTGCATATGTGATTTGTAGAGGGATATCTATGATCGAAAAGTATTTTTCGTGTCCTAAAATTAGCTGGTAAACTCTAGAGGACTAGGAAGCAAAGAACCGTTAGTCTTAACCAGATTCGAAATTTTCACTAATGTACACATATCCACTATAGGGATTAGACCCAACATCAAGTTTTGGGACGAATAAAGCTCCTATAGAGCGCACCATCTATATCCTATGGGTGGGTCGTGTTCAATGTTATTGTCACGCTTTCTCTTTGTTACCATAGATTACATCATATGTCCTAGTTTCTCACCGTAACTTCAAGAAACTTATTTCTGAGATGATGCAATGCAGTGATAAAGTCGTCTTTCAAACATACAAAAGTATCGGGAATAAATTCACTTGGTATTGTTTGGTTGAATTTCCCCATTTACGTTTATGACTGTGATTGATCAGTCTCTTGTTGACCATATGTGTATGCTGTGCGTATCGCTTCGATATAGCCTTAATATACAAGCATTATAAGCAAAGATGGGTAGTAGCTAGCGGTGGAATCCAGGACTTAGTAGCTAAGTGGATAACGTGATGGCGTCTGAAGCGAAAGGTACTGGGTTTCAGTCTCAGAGTGAACATCAACTCTGAGATACAGGTACATCCAGCTGACGAGTCCCAAATGGATCTCACTTCTAGCCACTCCATCTTTGCTTATAATGTATCGGGAATTAGTTTCAATGAGGTGTTTTCTTATAATTTGTTCTTTGTAACAGTGTGAATAATAAATATACATTAATGGCTGATTATAATTGTTTGGTTAGTTCCCGCCTCTTATCGAGGAATAATTCAACTAAGAATCCTGACTCCCATTTCATTTTTATTATTAATTGTGTAAAATATTACGAAAATCCAAGATATAAAATAATTACATTCACGATGCACTAAAGTTTACCTGGAACATCTTTGATATATATTGGCAGTGTTATTTTAAATAAGTTTCCGAAAACCATAGAAAGATTTAGTTAAACGGAACAAAGGATGAATATACCTAAATATATGTGTGGAAACCAATTAATTGTGCATTATACAAGATTTAATAATAAATATCCCGAAAAAAGAGAAGTTATGACCATTTAAATTCGCTTTCATCATGAAGTAAGACATAAATCGTCGAAAGAAGTGGATGTAGTTGAACTGTATAGTGAGCAGGAACATAAATAACTGGATCCCAGCTAAATGATCTTAATAAAGTCGTGCTCATGGGAATATATAAACACAGACGTTTCAATCCTTCTTAAGGCTGTATGAGTGTGTGTATACTCTTGAATAGTTGAACAAGAGATAGAAATGCTGTCTATTGTACCCTGACGTTTATCAGTGATTCTTCAGTTTACATTAGTCATTAATGAGAATGAAAAAATTTTCTAAAATATTCTACTCCAGCTGAGGTCAATCTGTAACTAATATCAACTACAAATTAACAATAATTACCACAAAACATTTGTGATCAGTGTCAATGGATGAACTTCACGCTATGTCACAAATTGATTGAAACTGCAAATGTGTTATATAGAAAACTAACTCAGTGGTCTAATAGTTAAGTACTGACCATGAAACCTGAAAGTCTTGGATTCAATGCTTGATAAGTTAGTGGGTGCGCGCTTCTAATTAGTCTCATACTGGAGGCAAATATTTGTTCAGAACTTCCTGATTTCTAATCGCACCTAGATTGACGTCAAACCTTGACAAATATTATATAAACATTTAACGAACCTTTTCCAAACCTGTACATCAAAAGCTAATCGTCAAAGAATACTGCTCTTAGACCTATTTTTAAATTGTATACTACCTTTTGAATAAATTATTTGTTTATTCTGCTTGTATAGTTATTAAAATCAACAAATTGACATCAAAACACTTCACATAACTTCATTTGGTATTGTTTACTTGAATCTAGCCACTATCCATCTCCGCATATAATGTTTGTGAATTAAGGGAATATCGAGGCAATATGTGCAGTATGCACAAGCAAGTGGCTATCAGGACTCAGTAGCTGGGTGGATAACGCAATGACATTTGGAGAGGATAGCGCTAGGTTCGAGTCCTAGAGTGAACATCAACTCTGAGATGCAGGTACATCCAACAGACGAGTCCCAAATAGGACGAAATGTGCATCCCGAATTCCACTACTAGCAACCATCCATCATTTCAAATAACTTTTTTTTCTATCTTTTCCTTATTTTTAAATAAAAAATCACTTCGTGTCTATTCACTTTTAGTTACACATGATAAATCTTGTATTTAATGTTGTTCAATTGAGTTTCTTCAAATTTCTATCTAAATCAGTCAATTTTTCCTATTGTATACACATAAATGTTTTGATATTTATGCGAGAAAAAAAAGGAGTGAAGAAAATATTATCTTATTAACCAATAGAATAATAGTGATAATCTTTATATAGACAGACATATTTTAAAGTTGGCTATATTCTGTCATGGGTGTACATCGTTAAAAAAAATAATAATACACATCTTTCTCCCCCTTATTATCTCTTTGTGTATACTGACAAGTGAAAGCTGTTTTTTTTGTTTTTACATTTATTTCTTTACCCCTATAATGAATAGTTTATTTTCTATCTCTTCAAAGACATTATCGTTATCATAGAGATAGAAAATGTCTACACCCGTAACTAACTATTGTCAAACAAACAAACGAACAAAATTTCAACCTGTTCATTATATTCTAAATTCTGATTGGTTGGAAAACTTTCATACGGTAGTAGCGAAATCTACTGGTTTTTTAGTCTTTGAACATATCAGGAACAAATAAGTATTTTTTTAAAAATTAAATGTATAAAGTCTATAAATTATTTGGACAATCCTTAAAGTTACATTACTAATACAAAAAGAGAGTGTATAAACAAAATGTCTTCTTCGCAACATCATGGATCTAATGAATTTATTAGTAATTTCAGTATACAATCTATGTTAAATTTAACTAATAAACAAGAAGATTCTACTATGAAATATTCTATGAATAACTCAAATGATAATGATAACATTAAGAATATACAAAGTGATCTATTGTCTTTGAGTCCGTTCAATTTAAATGTATTAAACACATCGTTGAATAATTATCAACATCAAGTGAATGAGAAACAACTTAGTAACGGTTTACAAAACTTTGAAATGAATGATATTTTTCATAATCTAATCAGTAATAATTATCAACAAAATTATAATCTTCACCGGTATTCAACATCGAATAATACGTGGGAAAATTATATGAATTCCAACCATTCTGATAATATTCCTGTCACTTTATTGTCTGGATCATTAACAACATCAACGACATCAACAACACCAACAACAGTACATAATGAAAATATTAATCATTCATCAGTTATGACTAATCTAACATTACCTGAAGATACTATGAATTATCAATCAACCAGTGATTCTCTATCGATTAGTCCATCAACACCACAATCATTAAATTATTCATTATCTGATCCGATGTTATCAAATAATCCATTGAGTAGTTCGCCTATACAAAGGAAACGCAAATTGACTGATCATACGAACAGAAATGAGAATTGCATGAATATTAGCAAGTATTATGAACACAATGACAGTAAAGATGAAAGTCATGAGAATAAACGACAGTATTTGTCAGAAGATAAAGAGAAGGAAGGTGATGACAATGATGATGATGTCGATAATCAAGGTGAAGGTGATGATGATGATGACGATGAACCGAACGAAGATGATAAAGAAAGTAAAGAGAATGAAAAAGATGAAGATGACGTCAACAGTGTTACAGATCAAATATCAAAATCGAATAAAACAAAAGAGAATTCTGATTCAGATAAACCACCATTCAGTTATAATGCATTGATTATGATGGCAATTAGAAATAGTTCAGAGAAACGTTTAACACTAAATGGCATATATGATTTTATTACGACTAATTTTCCATATTATAAAAACAATAAACAAGGTTGGCAAAATTCAATAAGACATAATTTATCACTAAATAAATGTTTTGTTAAAGTGCCACGTGCATATGATGATCCAGGGAAAGGTAATTATTGGATGCTTGATCCATCATGTGAAGATGTATATATTGGAGGAACAACTGGAAAGTTAAGACGTCGAACAAATTCATTACAGCGTAGTCGATTATTTAATCTACGTTTGGCTAGTTATTATGCATCATTAGCCAGAAATTATTCAATTCCATCTAATGTTGAACAGTTTTCATCAACTCCACTAGCAATGTTTCATCATCATCCTACAGTAATGCATAAATCACAGTTCGTATCAAATAATAATAGTACTAGCTTAAATTCATTTCATTCATCAGTTGATGATACACCACCGTTCTTAGACATATTTAATCGTATTTCAGCCGAACAAACGCCATTTTTATCATCATCTTTCCCAAATCCTTGCAGTCATCCCGTCTATGACAACTCACTTTATAACAGATCATATGTACGAAATAATTATGAACCAATATTAGATTATTTAAGTATTCATCGATCCAACGCCCATAAATATCATCCTATTTTGGAACATTTATCTCCCCCTCCACCTCTATCCTCAGCACCATCAACATCGCCACCTACATCGATAAATCTATCATCCAAGTTATCAGTATCACCTCTGCATCCTCTTTCTCATAGACAATATCCTCCTTCATTGATGAATTCTTATCCTAATTCTATGTTACGCAATACAAACGAAACTAAATTCTCTGATGAACAGTGGCTTTCAAGTAATCTTAAATTGGATTGTTCTAACTCGAAAATATGGGATACACCAAAGTCTCAAATTAATTGTTTATCTACGAACAAACAGTTAACATCACCAACAAAAAGGATCAATATTTCTCCACAGAGTAGTACCATGATGAAAAAACTAATGTTAATGACTACTGATTCACAACAGAAACAATTGAATAGAGCTCCTGAAAGAAAAATTCAAGAATCTATGGATTTTTTATTAGGTGTATATGGATCACTTTTAAATGCACATCCTGATATAATCAAGAATACAAATAGCTATGTTCAGTTTCAGAATAATAGAGACAACGATTTACACTATACTTTGCCTGTAAATGGAGGAAAAATCTAAAACATGGTTAATTTGTACTTTTCAGTAAGCGATTTTATCTTTTATGTAATTTATTCTAACCGTTATTATCATCAAATGTAATGTAGCAATACAACATGGTGATGATTATTAGAGTCCAAACAATTGTGGTACTCCTACTACTACTTATATATTTGCGAGTAGTTTTACTCAACACTTCATAATTCATTTCCATTGATGACATGTTAGAATTAATTTCAGTTATTGTAAGTGAATCAACTTTGATAGTATTTTTTCCGTCATGATGTTCTTTCCTTCCATTTTTCTTTAACTTCTTGAATCTCTTCTTTTGACATGTAACTTTTAGTTATTATTTGATTTCCCTCAAGAGTCTATACATGTAGCTACATGTATTTTGATCATACTATCTTTAATCATGACTACATCAGACAAATGTGTTGAAAATCCTGATTTATTTTGATTAGCTAATTATTTTAATCAATTCTATTGTAAATAGGTTTCATTCAAATAAAATTAAAGTTATTTTATATTTGGTGGTAACTTGTTTTCTGAACGGAAAATTGCATTTGAGCACGTTTTTTATCAGGGATCTGAGAATTGATTTAAAAACGATATTCACTAACATCTTGATATCACAGTTAATGGACCATTAAAAATTGTAGTAGGACTAGCAACTAGTATGAATCACGTTTTAGTTCTATTGGGTCTCGTCAGTGTTGTGTGATTATACTTTGTGAGTGTTTAATGTATAAAAAGATGCTCAAGTTATAACTGACGATTACTAGTTATCCTATATGATTAAGTGGTTAAGTAAACCTATTCAAGACAACAGTTGGTTATATGTAACATCAGATAAATGAAGGCATTCTGAGAAATACAACTTATTCAAACTTCATTTTTATGGTCGCTTATGAAAACGATAGTTCTTTTACTTGGGACAAAATTTGAAAGCTGAGTAAATCACTTTTTAAAGGTAGCTGTTATCACTGATCAAAATCAAAGTTTTAAAGCATTGAATAGACTTTTCAAGCTAGTTTGATCATGTTTTATTACAAATTGACTGAAACTAGATAATATAAACCGATTCAATAATTTGCAGATATGGTATTCACAATGAAATCTGAAGGTCCTGAGCAAATTTTGTGCGAAGTCAACTATTTTAACTGTTGGACAGTTAAAAAAAGGAGATAGAACTATTTCACAATTTTTATTCGTCAGACATTCTCTACTTTATGCCTGCTCCATAATAGGAACTAACTTAATTAATCTGGAGAAACTAATTCACTTGAGAGCTATTTTGCTGACATCTTATTCAGTCACAGAGGCTTTAGTTTTAATGTGATAGATTGTCCACATAAAACATTTTCAACTTTAGCTAAATAATTTCATTCTCTGAAGACTACTAGTACAATATTACAATGTGCTTTCACAAAATATCTTTTTGAAAGTTATTAACCACAAAATATAGGAATAGATAATGTTTGGTATAAAGTATTTTAGATCACAAACCATAAGTGGATGTACATAGAAAAAATAGGTAGATACTTTAGCTGATATTAGATAGTTCTGAGTTTATACTGCAGTAACTGTGAATTACAGATGATGACAATTACTGCATATTTAAGTTACGTGGTTACCAGAAATTTCGGTGATTTTATAATAGGTAACTGCTATCTGAAAGTTTATAGCTTTTTTAAATAAGATATGATAAAATTGACTTCAGTTGACAAAAGTACTTCGTTTGTACTAATATTAGTACTAGTTCTGTACATTTCTATGAAATGGTACTTTCATATACTTCTTAGGTAATTTTTGTAATTTGATGAAAACTATTCAAGTTGTATTATGTGAATGAATAGTTTTGACTTCACAAAGAACTAATTATTTTAAAAAGAGTATAGATGATAAGAAATTATGACATTAAATATTCTGTTCTTCATTGAAAACAAATAAAAAACTTAATAGAAACAATTATAGACACCAATCAGTAGGACCTAGTTAACATTCATCCATAAATTTTACATATATCAATCAATAAAAGCATGTTTCCAAATATTACTGAATGTTATGACACTCAGTGTAACCGTTGATTACACTGATGTTGAAATGTTTGAATAATTTCGATAATTTTTTTTATATCTTCTCAAAAGAATAGACTAGTATAGTTTTAAATGTTTTAAATAAAATCCAACATAAATTTTAAATTAATTACTCAAAGATTTTATAAATCATTTTAATAATTTTGATAAAGTAACTACAATCACCAAGTGAAAGTCATTCAGTTGTATATTTCAGTAATTTTGTCGGGAATGTTCACTTTGCCCGAAGGGGGGATTTTGTGGAGTCAATTGAAGCTAGACCACCATGTTTACTTTGTTATGAAGTTGCTATATTTAATGAAAGTAATTGAAATTGATCTAATTTAGGTTACCATTCAAAGAACTAACTATCCAGTATATTGATACATTGATTTGATTGTTTCTTTTGAAAATCTCCATGGTTATTTTCTATAATTTTCCACTTAAAGAAACTTTTGAATGAATACTGTGCAATTACTGTTACTGATGACATAAATTATCTCAATTTGTAATATAAAAACAATGTGAATATAATCCAATACTCATTTTACACTTTTGACCAATTAACAGTCAATTTTTACTCTAATTAAAAACTTTCTACAATCATAACTGGTTTCACATTGCGGTTATATTTTAGCTTATGAACACAACACAAAAGTAAATATTAGAAAAAAAATTGATGAAAAATTATGAAGGCTTTGAAATCATGGATAAAATAGTTTCTTAACTATTCATAGTTAGATGTTCGTTTAAATATTCCCTCTTTACAGACTTTTAATCAATAATTAGGAAGTTTGATCCTCTTTCTACCTACTTCGGTTTGGATTACTGGGGCGTATCAATAGCTGTTGTGAAATTAATGCGGATTAAAGATAAGTATAGAAACCAGCTCTTAGTATATGAGTTACATTTAAGTGACGCTCTAACATGAGATAATATAGTTAGATGATTTATACTTTCAATAAGTATTTGTACGCTTAAAGTGGATTTTTTTTCTATGTTTCAGTAGACTAATAAATTTTTAAAATCACCATAAATACAATTGTACAGCCTTAGTAAATGATATTTTTGAAAGATAATGTCCTCTTATTCAGTTACATAATGTGCTTGTTTCATTACCTAAACCAATTATTATTGATTTTGTCGATATTAACTAACACCTTTCGCATATTCATTGTTAATATGTGAATCAATTTGTGAAAAACTGTTTAATTTGTGGTACATTGTAATTCATTTAAAAAAACTCATTAGCTATAAACGTCTCTTCGTTACTAGTAGATGATAGTGACATTCTCACTTGTATTCCAACTGGGTGTTGGTACTTTTACTTATCAATAATAATGTAAGATTCACAATTAGATCACCCATTTCAGAGGATGCAGCATCACTAAAGATATCGAGTTCAGCTACAAATCTTTCCAGTAGTTTGTATTTACTTAGTCGGATTCCAGACTTATGAAAGTTCACTATTAATAGTAATCTACTTTAAGGGCATATACTGCTGACTGTAGAATGATAACCACATTTGAACTTGGTAATAAAGTGTTTAGTTGTACCACAAAACAAAACAAGTTTGTATCCACTGAGAATTTTGTTGTTTCTGATATCTACTGATATCGATTACTGAATATATCCCGAAGTATACCTCTAATCTACTGTCATCAAATTCACACTTTATGGAATGAAAGGGATCGAATGTTTGTGATAATTATTGGTTGCGCATACAATAAAAGGACTTATATGTTCTTACAGTAATCTCTTTACAACTAAAATCAGAAAATATACAGGAAACATTTTGGAGAAATTAATTCAGTCAATTATATGTAGAAGAGCGTATTTATGAATGCCAGTATAAATTAATAATTTTGTTCGAACTAGATCAGTATTATTCTTACCGAAATGTACAAAGTGATATAAATTGGGAACGATTATTTATGGACCTAAGTTTGGTTTCAATTGGTATCGAAATCCAGGCAGTCGAGTTTATCACGGAATTCATCATCTAGAGTCCTATAAGAGTTTAGATTCCAACTTTGGAGAAAATAACGTGTAATTAGTAAGGCAACAGGTCGGTTCAAATGTTAGGTTAAAGTTCAATCAGTTTTTTCAGTATTTTAAAACGTTTTGAGTCGAAGTATGTGACCATTGTCTTACTACTATACTCACATCTGTAATGAGTTATAAATCATCATACTTTTGTATATATTTTGATTAGTGCAAGAATTTGTGGAGATTGTTGAAATTTTATAGTATATATCATGGAATGACCTTACTTTAGATTAATTAGAATCAATTCATGATATGAATCTCGCGAGTGCGGGAACGTGGATGCACACTGCTGAGGAGTCCCATAGTAGGATGAAAGGGCCATCCAGTGCTTCCAGGTTTTCGATGGTGGTCTAGCTTCAATTGACTCATGAATTCAACTGTGAAAATACTAAATTCTCCACAAAACCCCCTCTGATCTATTTTAATTTTGTCAATAAAAATTATTTATCAGAAGGGGTTTTGTGGATATTATAGTAATTTTGATAGTTGAGACCATGAATCCATTGAAGCTAGACTACCATGGAAAACCTGGAAGCACTTAACGGCGGTTTCGTCCTATTGTGGGACTTCGCAGCAGTACTCATCCACTGCTGAAGAGCCTCACGAGAGGACGAATCCGCCGTTAAGTGCTTCCAGGTTTTACATGGTGGTCTAGCTTCAATGGATTCATGATCTCAACTATCAAAAATGGTTTAATTAAAACAGCATTTAACAATCAAGGTTGATAGTTTGTTCACATGCAACCCGTAATGGTCGTACATCATTTCTACAGCCTCGTGAACAAGTATATTGTATTATTAAAAAAAAAACTTTAATGAAACCTTACACTAGTATTTCTTTCAATGAATTATTGAATTACCACAGTAAAAGACAACAGCATGATGAATTAATAGC